TCTTTCAATTTTTTCATCTTGTATTTTTATATTTTTTTATGACATTATTAAAGTCTTTCGATTAAGCTTAACGTTAAATATTATATCAACAGTTTCTACATAATTATTGTAAAATGGTAAGATTGGTAGGAGTGTTCGTCACTAGTTTCTCTTCAATTACACGTAGAGCGGTAATTTTAATTTGATTTTAAAAATGCAGTATATTAGTTTTAAAAAAAAAAATGTTAACAATGCAATATTATCTTTGAGTATTAAAGTTATATTTGTAATAACATTTATTGCATGCCTTAAAGGTTCATTGTTAATTGTTGTTATGTTGCAGTAAAATTTATAATGAAATTACTGTACACTATAAATTCTATTAAAATCAGTATAATATAATCTATTTAACTTAATATTTAGCGCTTGAAATATTTGAAGAAAAAGTTTTCTAAAAATAAAACGTTAGTAAGAAATATCATATCTTACTTATTCACTAATAAAAACAGCGGCATATTTTTTTGACATAATACATTAAATATGGATATATTATAATAATATATAATTACAAATGAAAATATTCGTAAAACAAAAGAAATAGGCTGCAAGTTTATGGTTATAAATGTTTTAGACGAGCATAAAAAAAAAAAAAAAAAAATTCTCAACGATATTATTAAAAGATTTTCCAAATCACGGTATGTCATAAAATTAGTCACTCTTTACGTACATCAACTTTTATTTATTTTCCTTACTTTTGTAATTGTATTAATTCGTATAGTAAATTGATAATTGAAATTCTAATTAATTAAATTTTCTAACCATGATAAAAGAAATGTAGATAAAACATAAAAGTAATATAATATTAAAATAACTATTAATATCTCAGTTATCAATCTTATAACTATCAATCTTTTTTTTTATTGCATGCCAAGTAAATAAAATTACAAAATGTTAAATATTTTTTTAGAATCAGAATATATATAAATGAATTTTATTTTAGTAAAAGTATTAATTATACGTCAATTTTATTTAACTTTTTTAAACGTATATAAATATGTTTTAAAAATATAATATATATATATATATATATATATATATATATATATATATAGATAAAATTTTTTATTATTTAAATTTATTCAAATATTTGTAAATTATTAATAGTTTTCTATAAACCAAGTGTTAAAAGAAAAAACTAAAGTACAATCTGTACATAGTTATTAAGCCATTACGTAAAGCTTGATGTTTATTTTTCACATAATTTAATTGTTATTAATTACAAGAATCATAGTAATTATTATAGCCAAATGATTTATAAAAGAACAATAACATGCGTAGTTTGATTATTATATAAAAAAAGATAAGTATAAAAAGATTCGGTAAAACTATTGTAATATATGTAAAAATACAATTTATACATTAATCTTGGCTGCTTAAAAAAGGAAAAGAAAATAGATATGATTTTGAATGTAATAAAATACAATGAAATAATCTATAAATTTAGAAACAAAACATATTAGAAACAAAAGTTTTTTTATATTATTATATAAAAATTAGTTAGAAATTCATTGTATCTTATACATGTTAACTAAATTACTTTTACGAAACTTACATAAATGTATTCCTATTATTTACAAAGTCATATGAAAGGAATTTGAAAAAAAAATATTTTGTAACACTAGTTGTAATACATTTATTGTAAAAAATGTAAGAAAACTAAGTAATATGAAGCAACTATTATTTATTAGACAATTCTTTGAATTTGACAATAATACTTACTATTCATATTTTATTAAATTGAAGTGAAATTTTAAAGATTAAATTGTATAAATCAACTTCGATATATTTTGTAATATTAAATCAAAAATAGGACAGTAAAGAATTTTAATTTATCATGGCTCTTTATTCAATATTTCCTTACAAAATTTCCATATCCAATTAATAATCTGATTAACTCGAATAATATCAAGTATTACATTTTTCGAATACGTACATACAAAATATAATTGATATTTCATAAGAAGTAAATTGTTTAAATAGATGTGTGCGCGCGTGCCTGCGTGCGCGCGAGCGTGTGTGTGTGTGGGTGTGTAGTATATAGTATCCAGTTGCGATAATGTACGATGTAGTTTATAACAAAAATATAGCAAACAAATCGATGAAAAATGTATATAAATAGTAGTATTCTTTACGTATAATAATAATTATTGTTTTATTAGTAGAAAGTAAAATGAATAAAGTGTATATAAGCCAAACGAGTCTTAAAATTTCTTTTAAAATTCTCACTGTCAAAATATATTTTAAAATTAGTCCCAATGATGGATGAGCTCGAACGGCTACGCATTTACACGGTTATGCCCTTTTATATGTATGCATCCATGTAAATGCGTATATAACCTTACATCTCAATTAAGGTTAAATCGATTTTCATCTATCTCATGTCATTTCAACGCTAATCTTTTCACTTAACTATCGTTTAAATAAACTCTTTCGGGCTAACTATCATTGTTTAATCGACGTTAAGTTATATTTCTTCGGCTTTTAGCACAAAAAATTAAAAAAAAATTAGACTATGCATATGAACGAAATTATTATATTATTCATTAAAAGTAATAAAATGTGAAAGATTGACTTGCATTTTTCAATTTCTAATAGAATTACTTTCAGTTGGAGTAATTATTTTCAATATAAAATGTACTTTCGTTCTCTAGAACGCGCAGTAGAAGATCAAAGCGATTGATTTAAAGCTTAATAACTTCATTTTGACATGTATTTACATTTGTATGTAATCTGTAAATGTTGAAGACCTACGTTTCATTCTATTTTATTACTTTTATTCCTTATAACTTAACTATGTATCATAGTAGGTTATTGAATATTATTTTCAATCATCGCGAAAAGACGTATTAATACATTATATACTGTTTTTTATGTAAATGATAGTCTGATTGACTCGAATCAATTGTGAATTGTACGCATATCAAATTTACTTTCTCCTTTTAGTACATAATATTAGGATTGTGCATAATTTAAAGTAAAATATTTGATCGGCAGGTTTGCATCATTGATATATAATTACACGTGCTGTCGTTAAATTAGATTTTTCCTTTCATCCAATGATACACAAAGAACAAATAGTAAGCTTAATGAATTTGCATCCCCTGAAGCGATCACATGTCAACATCCCATAAGTGTAATCGCATTTCCGACACGATTAAACCTACACATCAATTTATCTTAAACAATGAAAGGAGATTTTCTTCTCAATTTAAAAAGCAAAGGAAAAGAAAAAATGTAATGTGAAATGAAAATTATTGTAGCACACGTTAATTATGATTCGATAGTCAAGAATAATATAGTTATAACTTTTAATTGTTATATTTTCGAGAATATCGTAAATGAACAATATACGAGGGGTTTTATTTTTTGTTTTTGTTGTTGTTGTTGTTGTTCTTTTTTTTTTTTCTTTCAATTTGTAAATGTATCTCGGCTTCTTAAGGAAAATGTAGTGAATTTTTTTAAAAACCCATTTGACATTGACTCGAGAATTAGGTCTTACATTAATGAGTGAATAATAACTTAAAGCTTAATTTAATTGTATCGGGCAGCCAATAAGTGGTCGTAAATTTTGTCAAAGTCATACGATAAAGTAGCGTCGTACGATGATTAATGTACTATTGAGGATGAGCAAACGGAAATGCTCATGAATGGTTTAAATAAGTCACGTTGTGCTTTATACTTCAATTGCACTAATGCGCTGAAGACTCTTGAATATGAATAAATGTAGGCCTCCACTCTCAAAACCATACGGTTTGTAATCGATTTAATGGGTCAGAGTAATAACAAAAACTTACTTTCATTCGCGATGCATCGCATTCGAATTCAATATTTGTTTATCTTTGTTTTTAATAAAGATATTAATAGAACGATGTACGCTTGACCCTCTTTTGCCCTGCTTGGAGAAAAATCAACTTATCTATTATGATATTAGGGTTATATAAGGCCAATGTCGTTGGAAAATTTACTAAATTAAATATAAATTTAAAGAAGAAAGACAACGTTTCCTTTAATATCCTGCCAATGTGCATTAGGGTGTTAATTTATTGAAATAGTTCATGCGACCGAGTAATCATTTACGTTCCAATGATTTAACAGTAAATAAGTCATATGTTTGTCATATGTCGCGTATTCTAAGATTATTATTGTTAGCCCATCTTCAACGTTAACTGAACGTTTAACAATAAATTTTACTCCTTGATTAGAATAATACATATTTATTTTTCATAACGCAACAAAGTAAAAATGCAAATATAATGCCATCCGACATAACACACGTTACACAGAATTATAATAGAACGCCGAGCTTTTTAAAACGTAAATTTCTTTTCTTTATCAAATTACTTGTAATATCGACTTGCATATATATTCAAAATTAAATGAGCGATAGAGAAACGTGAGAAAAATTCCAACGAGGTTTGTTTAATACGTAAGCATTTTTTTCCCCCGTTAAATTACTCATATTAGCTCGATAATAAATATGATCTTCTATTTGCGCACACACTGCACTAAGAAAAAAGAGAGGCTTTTATTACTTAAGAACACATATTTTTTCGTTATGCAACGTAATCCTTACAAATTTCTGCAACACTATTCGCGGAATGCGTATGCGCACGTAGACGGATGTAGCTAGAGAGAGAGAGAGAGAGAGAGAGAGAGAGAGAGAGAGAGAG